AACGCCCCGAAGCGAGACCTTCGTCGGAATGCGTCGAATCCGACTTGGGCCAATAGGAAGCGGGGTTGCTCGAGGAATTTGACCCCACGTGACCATCGGAGTCTTCTAAACCGGTTTCGATGCGCATGAATACCGGTTTCGAAGAAATGTGTAGTAAAGTAGCGTAAATGATACCATGAATAGAATACCCGACCTTCTTGTTTTGGCTCGATGGTGGTAGTTTTCGCTTGTTGAATGAATTCAAGTGGGATGTTTGGGTATTTTGAATATTTGCTGACGCAAAATTGACTATTTGAAAATGATTTTGAATTCTTGATATCTGTATCACATCCACATAAATAATAAATAAGTTTAATAAGCTTCGTTTGTATAATTTAAGCGTCTGGTCATGATTATTAATTATTTTCAAAAGATAACTGACAGCTGTGAGTATTCATTTGGCATTTGATTATATTAAAAATGGCGATTTTCGTCATGGCAACTGAGAGTGACGGTATCTAAAATAAGATGCGACTAAATAGTCGTGTGAAAATATTAAATTAATTGGCAATATTTCGAAAACTAAACACTTTTGGAATATACATCTTTACACAAACTTACCCTAATTTTTCCATTTGAAAAAAAATATTTTGGACGGTTTTCTCAACGTCATTTTTAAACGTATTGTTTAACAGATACATTAATGGTTATCAAAATTTGGTCGAGATTCGATCAAAGTAAGTCGCTTTCAACAAGAAATGCGACTCAAATTAAGTAGCACCTATATCTTTATAGGAAAAATGAACAACTTTTCGAGGTTAGGAAAGTCAAATCTTGCTATTTGATATGTCAAAGGTAAATGTCATCCGAAGCGTTTTTGATTTAGTTGAAGTTTTGCCGTTTTGGAATATGGATCGTTTAACCGTCGAAGAACGCGTAAAAATTATTAAATGTTACTACGAAAATGGCGATTCTGCTGTATCGACGTTTAGGGCTTTACGAGCAGAGTACGGTTGACATAATCGACCCACAGAGCAAACAATTTCGAACACAGTGGAACAATTTGAAGAGACTGGATTGGTTACTGATATTGTATGGTCTGTGTATCATCGCAACATTCGTTCAGCTGAAAATATCGCTGTTGTTGCTCAAAGTGTGGAGGAAAACCTGAATTCGTCCATTCCCCGACGTCCTCAACATTTGGGCTTGTTTTACGACTCATTGTGGCGAATTTTGCAATTGGATTTGAAGCCCCATCGGCACAAAGTCTCACTGACTCAAGAACTTAAGCCTCAAGACCATGAGCAACGCAGAACATACGCAAATTGGGTGATTGAACAATCATTGCCGTTGATGCTGATTTTTCGAACCCAATTTTCTTCAGCGATGAGGCTCATTTTTCGAAACAGAACAGCCGTATATGGGGCTCTCAAAATCGTCAGGTGATCGCAGAAAGGCCTTTGCATCCTGAAAAAGTGACCGTATGATGTGCATTATGGTCCGGCGGTGTTATTGGACCGTATTTTTTTTAAAACGATCAAGGAAGAGCCATAACAGTCAATTCTGAGCACTGTGAGCGCATGTTAACCGATTATTTTTGGAGAGAAATTGAAAATTTTGATCTGGAATACCAGTGGGTCTAGCAGCATGGGGCAACTAGTCACACAAAACTGATAGTTAGAGCCCTATTGCAGGAGAAATTTCCAGGACGCGTAATTTCGAGATTGAGTGATGTCAATTGGCCCGCAAGATCCTGCGACTTAACACCGTTAGATTTATTTTTGTTGGACTATGCGAAAAATCGTGTTTACGCCAACAATCCTCAAACTCTTGAGCAACTGAAAGCCAATATGCGTGAAGTTATGACCGAGATATTACTGGTAATGTGCCGAAAAGTCATTGAAAATTACCTCAAAAGGATTGAGGCATGTAGAAGGTCCCGTGGAGGACATTTAAATGATGTTGTTTTCCACGTCTAATTACAAGGTTTATTCTTTATTTTGAATTAAAATTTTCGTCTCCATTTGAATATTTTGTGTGTTTTTTTTTACTTTACTTTCCCAAGCATAAAATAGATAACCTTGTAGTTTGCCAGATATCGATCGCGGGGGTTCTCGGTGGGACACCCTGTATATAAACACTCTTTGTCCAATCTCAACGTCACGGAAGTAACTGGTATTTTCGGCTGGTGAGGGAAAACAACTGGAATGTTCTTTTATTATTTTTACCTACAATTAGATACCCTATCTATGATCATTTGAAGATAATTAAATCACTTATTCCTGAATAGCCGGGCGATTTGGGGTGCTTTTTACGCCCCCTGATTTCACCTCAGTGCACTTCAATCAGTGGCTTTGAACGCGACTTTCATATCTCTAAGTGCGCTTGAATGATTACTAGTATTAAATATCGGATTGTTATTGTTTTAGCCGCGATTTTTGATACAAAACTATATATTTAACGTAAAAGTCCCAGTTTTCTGTAAAGTATTGTACAATAAGTTAATAGGAACTGAGTCAATAAAACAGGAAAACTGATTTTTCAACTTCATTCGGCCACACTTTGCTTATTGGTTAGTTACAATTTTTCTTAGCTTCTAGCGATGTATTCTAGAGTGCGAAAATCACACATTGTTCTACTCTTTGATGCTTAACGTCATCTTTTACAGTCAATTTTTGTGCTTCCATTAGCTTCTATAGACATTGTTAAAGATTTCTCAGTGCTTTTTTCGTTTCTTAATTGCGTCTGGGCATCTTCCTGCTTCCTTCTCAAAATTGTCATTTTTACTCTCTCGCGTTGGCTCGGAACTTTAATTTGAACTGAAATTGAATTTGTAGTTTTATTGTCATTTATTTTCTTTAATGTTTAATGTGACCACGAAAATTCATTTTCAAGTGTTTCAGTTTATTCTTCTTTAGCCACTTGCATTTAGGGACACTTTCCTTCTGTATTAATTATTAAATTTTGTCTAGTTCTAAGAGTTTGTCTATACTGAAAAATTGCACATTTTTCTACTATTTGATTCTGAATTTCATTTTTTATATCCAGTTTTTCTATGTGCTTCTGTTCCCATCGATTTCTACAGAAATTTGTCAAACATTTTGTTACAGCATTTTTTCATTTTTTTTTTGAACAATTTCGTGTTGTCAGCGTCGCAATTATTTCTCAAATTTTTCGTTTTTATCTGTTTACTTAAAGTGGAATTTAATATTAAAATATTCTACTTTCAGTCCAGCACAGTTTTTATCATTGTTATCGGTTTTAATACATTTTCTTATTATTTCTGTTATACTTCACTTGCGTTGTTTAGGTTTGCGATTTCCTTATCTGGCTTCAGTTACTTTTTGTATTTGTAGTTTGAGTTTCAATTATTCATTCTCATTTGTTTTATTTAATGTTTAATGCGACAACGAAAATGCATTTTCAAGTGTTTGAGTTCATTCTTCTTTAGCTACTTGCATTTAGGAACACTTTCCTTCTGCATTAATTATTAAATTTTGTCTAGTTCTAAGAGTTTGTCTAAACTGAAAAATTGCACATTTTTCTACTGTATGATTCTTTATTTCATTTTTATATCCAGTTTTTGTATGTGCTTCTATTCCCATCGATTCCAACAGAAATTTGTCAAACCCTTTGTCACAACATTTTTCCATTATTTTTGAATAATTTCGTACTGTCATCGTCGCAATTATTTGTGAAATTCTTCGTTTCTCATCCGTTGACTTAAAGAGGAATTTAGTATTATTAAAATATTCTACTTTCAGTCCAGCACAGTTTTCTTTCATTGTTCTCGCTTTTGATACATTTTTCTATTATTTCTGTTATACTTCACTTGCGTTGTTTAGGTTTGCGATTTTCTTATCTGGCTTCTGTTACTTTTTGTATTTGTAGTTTGAGTTTCAATTATTTATTCTCATTTGTTTTATTTAATGTTTAATGCGACCACGAAAATTCATCTTCAAGTGTTTGAGTTCATTCTTCTTTAGCCACTTGCATTTAGGAAAACTTTCCTGCTGTATTAATTATTACATTTTGTCTATTTCTAAGAGTTTGTCTAAACTGAAAAATTGCACGTATTTCTACTGTATGTTCTTTATTTAATTTTTTATACCCAGTTTTTGTATGTGCTTCTATTCCCATCGATTCCTAAAGAAATTTGTCAAATCTTTCGTCACAGTATCTTTTCATTGTTTTTGAACAATTTTATATTGTCATTGTCGCAATTATTTCTCAAAATCTTTGTTTCTCATCTATTGACTTAAAGTGGAATTTAATACCAAAATATTCTACTTTTAGTGCAGCACAGTTTTTATCATTGTTCTCTCTGTGGAATTTAATACATTTTTCTATTATTTATCTTATATTTTGCTTGCCTTGTTTAGGTCGCAACTTCTTTGTCTCATTGCGGCAACTTTTCCTATTTGCAATTAACTTTTTAGTTGTATATTTTTATTTCTTTTTATAACGCTTCGTAGAACCAGGAAGATAAATTTTTCAGCTTTAGAGTTATTTTTACTTTAGATAGCGGCTTTTAGGGTAATTTTTCGTGCTTCTTACAACTTTTGACTGCGAGTATTTTCTCGGTCGGTGATCCGATTTGAATAATTTTTTATCGAATTGTAGCCTTATTCTGGGACAAAATGTAACTTATACGATAAGCAAAAAATGAAATAAACATATTGAACAGAGTGTTTGAATAGTGTCATGTTTTTTTGGCCAAAGTTTAAATCTATGTCTGTCTCTATTTCTTATGAGTAATTTCGATCTTTAATCGTCCGTATATCCAGAGACATTCGAGACATAATTTTTTTTGACCCTTGACATTTTTCGCTCGAAATTTACCTAAACTTTTTGTAATTGCAAAGAAAATTTTGCTCAATATGGCTGTGGGAACAACATTTCATTGTAACTAATGTGTTTTTCGGGTTTTTAGGCCGTCGTTGGGTAGAATTTCGTCTTGACGTTTCGCAAGCACGAGTGACTTGCATCTTCAGAAGCAAAACGTCAAGAAGAAATTTTACCAAACGACGGCCTAAAAACCCGAAAAACCAATTAGTTTCAAGGAATGCCCTCGAAAGTGTATCTCTTTTGATTTCATTGTAAGTTGATGGCTGTTTATTTTGCCACGCAAGTCGACAGCTGTAAGCTTGTATTAAAATTTTGTTTGCACAACTTTTCAGGAAATGTTTGAAAGTAATTTCGTGCGGAAAATGTGACCGCCCACAAAAAATGTATGTCTCTTAAATGGCCGGGGGTTAACAGACGATATATTTTTTTCTGCCTGAGCTTCCCGATGTTGGTCTCAGACCCATTTAAGCTTTGGCCAATTAAGCATGGCTCTATTGAAACACTGTACAATATGTTTAATACATTTTTTGCTTGCTGCAATCTTATAAATTAAATTTCGCCCAAAAGTAAAGCTAAAGTTCGCAAAAGAAATTGTAAAAATTGTTCACAATTCACAGTCAAGCGTTTGGAAATATTCAGGCTTTGCGTTAAATTTGTGGCGCAGTGTTCTTCATATTAGTTACTCCCCAAGACTCAATTTGGACAAAAATTACCCTTTTGGCTTGCGACCTCAGCTACTGGGATCTACTACTGACTAATCAATTACGCACACTTAACAGAGGTGAAAGAGGCTTAATCCTAAACCTAATGGAACGACTCGACTATACATAGATGACTTCTTAGGGGGCGTAAAAAGCAAAATGAATCCCAACCCCCCCGGGGCGAACTAACCTAAATGACGAATCTTAGAACGTTAGCGTAGAATCGGAATGAGGTTTTCGAACCCGGTGAATCAATAATGCTGCGTCATATAGAGAAATCCTGTCCACTGGATACAAGTTCATGCTTTACATTAAATAAACCCTATTTAAACTTTCGTTGACCGGCTATCACTACGGCTTTGGATCAGTAGTCCCGTTGCTTAACAAGTGCAACCCTACTGAAGTACATTGCTTTGATTTAATACACTCCCCGAACGGATTGAGCTGCATTTGACGACTCACCATAACTCCCTACTTACGATCTAAAAATACTCAACAAGAACAGAAACGACTGGGACTGTGCAATCGTTCGCATCATATATGATGCGAACATGGCCGAGTCCCCCGGACGAACATACCTGGGAGGCGCATAACAGGCGCCCTCTTGGTCTGCTGCCTCTTTAGTTGCTTCACTCTGTACTAATTTAGTCATCCCAAGTGGGAAAGGCAGTCGGGTCGTTGACGAACAGAGTTGGTCCAGGCGCTGAGCTGGAACTGGAAGTCGTTCCAGATGCTGCAGCGGAAGTCTGAGCTCGTCCAGAAGTCGGCTTATTGATGACAGACCTGGAAAACGGTGATTGTTCTTGTTATGTCTTTGCTCCCAGCTGGGAAAAGGCAAGTACCTGGTGTTGTTGGTTTGCACGTTGTACTGTTGCTCCACTTGGTACTGCGGCTGTCCCCAAGTGTTGGGCTGTTGCGGCTGTTGCTGCATCGCCCAAGACGGAGTGTGGTCCCAAGACATGCTGGGGTTCCAACTGTACGTCGATTGGTCTTGGCTGAACAAATGTAGGTTCATTCGAATTCAGGCATTCATATTAATTGACCTCTGGGGACTTACAAGATATTTTGGTCTGGCCTATAAGGCGACGGGTTTCCGAAGCTGTTCTTCTCGTGGTCAGTAACCGTTAGCTCGATGTTGCCCTCGGCATCCGGGTGCTCCTCCAACGTGCTGTTCTTAATGCCATAGTAGAAGTACATGATGAATCCCAAAGACATCCAGATGGTAAACCGGACGAGCGTCAGCTTGGACAGCTTGAGGATGAGGTAAATGTTTACAGTGATGGCAATCGCTGGCACGAACGGCAGCCCGGGAGTCATGAACAGAATGGTGTTCCTAAATACTCAACAAAGTCAGCCAGGTGGTTGAGGGGTTTGGACTTAGACTTGCCTGTTTTGCGGCTTTCTGGATATCACCAGCAAGAGGGCGAGGATGGCGAAGAAGAACAAGAAGAGAAAGACGGTGGTGGCGTTGTTCATGTTGTCCATGCCGTTGACGATGATCAAATCGAAGATGATGATGAGCAGGTAGAGGATGCCGACTAGTTTCATCACGAACATGCCCGATTCTTCGGTGGCTGGCCCGGTGTCCACCCAGGGGAAGATAGCCGGACACAAATAAGTCGCTTCCTGAAATCATTTGAATGTTTTCCTTCCTTGGTTGAAGTGCTGCTCCTCACAGTTCCCACCTGCAGTCTTCGCCCTAAATACCCCAAGCTGGGCCCCACAGTAGATCCAACCACTCCTCCAGTGCTGGTGGCGCTGCCTGCCCCGTGCAGAGTTCCTGAATCATTCCCTACATCAGAACCCGATAACAATCAACGATTTTTGACGCATTTACCGTAGAACTTGTTCTCGGTTCGATCGGACACCAAGAACTGATCGTCCCGCATCGAGTACTCCTCCTCCTGCTCGTCTGCTCCAAACGTGTCGTCGCTATCCGGCGAGCTGAAGAACACCGAGAAAAACCCTCAAGCTTAAACACTAGTGAGGCCAATGACTAGCCTCAATTACCTGCGGGTGATTCTGCGTACCATCACGCGCTGAGTGGGCTGCGAAGGAAGAGGCGATGGAGACGGAGTGGGGCCGTGAGGCAGATCCAGGTTGGCGTCGATGGCCTGCCGGAGCGCATCCGGAGCCAGCTGGTTGCCGTAAAGACCTGCAACCAATCGGGTGAGCAGGAAATTTGACCCCCCTCCTACTTCAATACCTGCAGTCCCATTGGGGCTGTGCTGGACGCCCTCCTTGGTGGGGGAGCCTCGCAGTGGAGTGCGCAGGCTTTGAGGCAGCAACTCTACAAGGTTGGTAGAGTGGGGCTGGTAGCGCAGAATCAACACGCAAGTGGAAACCAGCGTGTAGGCAAGCAGGGTTCCTGAACAAGGACAGTGCAAACGTTAGCGAACTGTAGAGTAGGACAAGGGAAGAAGGCAGTTGCTCTACCTATCGACATCATTTCCACAAGGATTTCCAGGCGAATGAACAGGGCAGCAACTGCAGCGGCCAGTCCGCTACAAAAGGTGGCCAAGGCCGGGGTTCCAGTGCTGGGCCAAACTTGCGAGAATGTTCTGGAAAAAGCGTTGGAAAAGAGCCCCAGGGGACCACTAGGGGGGAGTACCTACTTGAAAATCAGCCCGTCCTGGGCCATGGCGTAGATGATACGGGGCATGGGAAACATGGAGCCGAACATGGAAACAGTGAGACCTGCCAGGGCTCCTACGGCCACAATGTACTTGCATCGGAACGCCCCCACTTGCCCGAACATCTCCACCAGGGCAGAGTCCTGGTCCACCTCCGTATAGGGAACTGAAACAATTACGATTTGTTATTGGCAAACGTTCGCTAGCACTTGCTGGATGGATTGGGATGATGATAACTAGAGGGCGGAAAATATGCAAAG